TTTAGAAAATACTCTTGTACTACTACCAATTAGTATAAGTAAATTGTCACTTTTGTGATTTGTTATTTATCTTTGTGTCACAACGTATCAAATTTTTATCCTTGTCTGACAAAAGAAATAATTATAAATTGTTAAAATTTCTTTGTGCCAACACATAGCAGATTCTGTCAGGTATGTGATTTTTTCTAACGGGGTTTTTATTCTCAGAACCAAAAATTGCAGATTGTGTCTACGTAAATTGCAATGAACGAAAACCATAATTTTACTATAAAATATATGTAATAACCATCACTTAAAAGAAAAATAAGATTCAGGCACACAAAGTTTAGCAAATCCCTTAATTCAACTAGAGGCTCTATAATTTAGGAGAAATTTTGAATGTTTAGAACCTTATACTTTAAGACAAATAGTATTCAATAATATATACATACCTAAACGACTTCTAAATCCGATATGGAGGGAGTACAAAAATAAAAAGAATCATATATCTCCACATAGTAGGCGGGTTCTAAAAGTCACAGAACGAATAGGTGAATTTTTAACTCAAGCTTTGTGGACCAGGTGATTTTAAAATTGTATTTGGTAGCTGCTGCTCAGCGATTGGATATGTGTATTTTTAACGGCAATGCTAGCCCTCGAACGTCCGAACGTCCGCGTCTGCACTCCGTCTCCCCCCGCGCACCTACATCCCGTGCCCGTCTACGTGGGGCCCGTGTCGCCCGACTACATGTGGGGAGTCCCCACTCGCGCCCCCTCCGCTTCTCACGTGCATGCACGCGGCCAGCAGCTACAGCAGGTGGCTACAACAGGTGGCTACACCAGCATCTAGAAGAAGGGGAGGGGCGACAGATGTCTAGCCGGCGCCGGGAGGAGGAGAAGGAGACACCGAGGTGAAGGTGAGGCAGCACAAAAGCTATGACAAAGATGCAACACTCGATCTACTTTTGAAACATCCGGATGCAACACTTGCAACATATGTCTGAAGGCAGATGAAACATGCATCTAAAACACTAGCTGCAACATGAAACATGCATCTAAAACACTAGCTGCAACAACAGATCTACTTTTGAAACATCTAGATGAAACACTTGCAACATACGTATGAAACAGCTGAAAACACTCGAAACATGCTTATAAAACACTTGTAAAAAACACCTGAAAACACTTCATATGTGTGAAAATATATATAACATCCAGATGAAACACTTGCAGACATACGTCTGGAAAATGAGATGAAACATTTGGAACATACACTTGAAACATACGTCTATAGCCACTGCAACATGTGCAACATTTTGATTTACTTTTGCAACATCAAGATGAAACACTTGCTACATCTAGATGAAACATCTGAAACACTTAAAACATACTCTTGCAACATGGGCTTTGCTTGGACGAATGGAGGCACGCGCCGGCGCGGAGGTCGACGACAGCGCATGGACCTTCAGCCTGTTCGCTTGCTCGTAAACGATCGTAAATTTCCAGGCGGTAACAGTGTTTTTCTCTCACACCAAACCAGCCAGCAGTAAATAATCCACGATACGATACGGCCTCCCGAACAGGCTACTTGTTGTGCGGCAGCGGCAAGGGCAACTCGCTGGCGGGCGCATCATCACATGAATCTCGTCCCCCCACTTGTTGGAGCATCTGTCGTTGAGGCTCGTTGGCTCGGTGGAGGCGGCCGCGGCGAGGAGGCAGCGCGGTGGAGGTGGGCGAGGCAGACTAGGCCCGGTGGGGAATGCGGCGCGGAGGACGCAGCGCGGGGAGGTAGCACGGAGGAGGCCGCAGCGGATGGGGCATGACGCGGCGGGGCGCGGTGCTGCGGGGGACCGGTGGCAACAAGGCGGAGTGGGGTGGGCGGATGGGCACGGTGCCGCAGGGAGGAAACGGCGCAACGAGCATCGGAGGGAGGCGCACGGAGGGGACGAGCGGATAGGGTCGCTGGGGCAAGCGGCGCGTGCAGAAGTGAACGGAGGGAGGCGTCCGTTCGCCCGAACATCTTAAGTGTATCATTATCGTTTTTGTAAAAAAATGCAAAATGATTTAAATGGTTGGGCCGACAAAAAAACTATTTTATGTTTTTCTTAAACCAATCAGTAGTTTTGTAAGATAAATAATAGTTACAAATACAGAAAATCTTCTAAGGGTAGTGCTGTATACAGCTGCTTGTCTAGAAGAGCCGACGGGAAACACCTTTAGAATGGCACTGGCCGGGCGCACGATGGCATGTTTGGAACTGGAAGGCACTCCGATGGATCCTCCAGCGTGTAACACGAAGTGTAAAAACGATGTATATCACCTACAAACATAAACAAACATAATCAAATATAAATCCATGCATCCCGCTGCCGGGCATGCACACACCATGACATGACACACAGTCACACATCATGCATGTCACCAACCGAGGCCACTAATCGCCGCAGCATCGCCGGTGCTCCTAATACATGGTGATCACAAAAAACAAACATTTATCACGTCAAAATTGCGCCTCACGATCAAGCGAAAGCTGAAAGCTAGCCGTACTCAGATCCTGTTTGGTTGAGCTGTGGCTGTGGGAAAAAGCTGTTGTGGGCTGTGAGCTGTGGAAAAGCTGCTGTGGGCTATAAGCTGTAGAAAAGCTGAAAGCTGTTTGGTTAAACAAGTATAAAATATACCTTTTATCTTTATCTCTCTTGAAACAACTATGGAAGAGCTTTTTATTCCACCAATTTCGAAAAGCAGAAAGCCAAAAGCCAAAAGCAGGGTCAACCCAGCTTTCAAAAATGAACTACGGAAAAGCAGCTGCTTCTGAAAAAGCATCCTCCAAAAGCAGCCCATTTGGTTGGGCTTTTAGCTTTTGGGGCTAAAAGCCAAAGCCAAAAACCCAACCAAACAGGGCCTCTAATGCAGTACTCCATGTTAATGTGTTGACCTCATCTATCATCATTCGGGCCGGGTCTTGCGTAGCCAAAGCAGACGACAGCCGAACACGGCCGACAGGAGTGCGTGGCGTGATGCATGGCTCCGCTGGTGTGTACACATGTGTAGTGCCCGGTCGATTCATCGCATCGCAACGACCCAAACTCGGTTGACAATTATAGCGACGGTTCCTCCATTTGTCAAAAAGATTAGATATGGCCTATATAGGGCGCTGGGCAGGGTTTTGCTTTCGCCGAAAATGAAAACGCAACAAATAAAGAGCTAGCGAGGGGAACTGGGCCACCCCCAGGGCCCTGGGCATGCAAAAACATATTGCAGTAGTATGTCCACATGCATCATGCATGGTACTTGGTGTAAATAAAAAAAAGGCTGGGGATGTGTGCACTGCTTTGATTCTGTATTTCTTGGTGGAATGTGCGTGGATTTTGGTTTTCCTAGTAAGGGCATGCATGCATGCAGCCAATTGTGCTTGATCTTGGCCATTCCCTTGGGTTTGACATTCTTCAGGCATTTTGGTTTATTGTTAGTGTATAATTAAGAACAATTTGTAGCACTTGATGCTTTAATCAAACACCACAATCTGCCAAGGGTAGCACTACTCCCTCCGCCCCCAAATAAATCAATTCATAGAATCCATGCTGGGCCTTGTTTAGATTGGGGTTAGAAATCAGTATTTGGCACTGTAACACTTTTATTTGTATTTGACAATTATTGTCCAATCATGGCCTAACTAGGCTCAAAAGATTCGTCTCGTAATTTACAATCAAACCGTGTAATTAGTTATTTTTTTTATCTACATTTAATAGTCCATACATGTGTCCAAAGGTTTGATGTGATGGAGAGAGAGTGAAAAAACTTGCAATCTAAACAAGGCCCTGGTCAAAAAATTTTAGGTTTGACTAACTTATGTAAAAGAGTAACATCTATGATATAAAATGGACACCATATGAAAATATATTCTACGGTAAATCTAATGATACTAATTTGATAACATAAATCTTAACCTCTTTTTCTACAAAATTCGATCAAAGTTTAAAAAGATTGACTTAAAATAACTTTAGAAACCTATTTATTCAGGGACAGAGGAAGTATTATTATTGGTTATATTTATGCGCAGAAGCTAAAGTATATATGGTTACTTTATTTCCGAGTTTCCTGAGGGGACAAGTTGAGAGATAGTATATATGAACTCAAATGTCTTGTAGGAGAAGACGTACGTATACTGTTGGCCTGATGATTATGGGCGCTACAACTTCTGTCGAAATTCACAATCGACATAAACAAGCTGAAGCGTGCGTGTTGCCAAACAATTAACGAACATGATTCTGCGAAAGATTGTTTGTTTTTTCAAACAACAAACAAAATAAAAATAAAAATAAAAAAAGAGGCAGTCTGCAAATAAGAATGTTCTAAATTAATGAAACAACGCCACTGGCCCACTGACTGCACTCGGAGCATCGTGGGTTACCTTTCGACCGCAAAGAGTTCCTTGATTGCAGAATAATGCTTTAGATTAGATTACTTCCAGGATGATTGACTTACTCTCATTCGCTTAATCGTAATCAAGATACACCACCGGCGGGGTTAACTTTAACAAAGCCAGTAGCTTTTACGCTGGGCCACGCGTACCACCACCGGCGGAAGTGCCTGATGATGACTTGCGTATCAATTCCAGCTACTCTCGGCGACGGGTCCCCGCGTCTGCGGTCGTAGCGAATGCGGGATGCGCGCAGCGACTCGGAAACGCACGCCACACCAGTCCAGCCGCTGCATCTGCATGCCGCCGCCGCCGCTCTGCTGCCTACCGGCCAGTGCCGATCGACGGAGCGAGACCTACCTCGCCGCTCTATACAGGAGTCAGGAGGTTGGTATCTGCATAGTACGTCTCCGATCGACCCACGTCATCCAGATGAATTAGTAGAAATGTATTTATTTGAAACGAATGGAATATACCAGAGTATAAACCATCCATTTTATATATATATACCTCCCCCTCTCTCCATCAGTCGCCGATAGCTAGAGGTTTCGGTCGTCTTTGTGCTCCTGCTAAATATAAAAAGAAGAGAGAGAGAGAGAAGATGAGGCCGAGCCCATGGAGGACGCCGACACCGTACATCTTCCTGGGCATTACCATCATAATGGGCGTCATCGCGGTGGCGCTGCTCGTGCTCATCTGCACGCGCAAGAAGGCGTCATCGTCTTCCTCGCGGCAGGAGGCCGACGAGAAGGCGGCGCGAGCGCTCGCGCCGCTGGACCGGGAGCCAAAGGTCGTCGTCTTCATGCCCGGCGACCACGCGCCGTCCTTCCTCGCCAGCGCCAAGCCGCTCCACGGTGACGGCGCGGCGGCAGTGTAGACAGGGGAGACGACGAGATCGAGTCCACCCAACCACCCGCGCGTGGGCCAATTTTGTGAATAGATTTTTTTTTCCCATTTGCTTGAGACTTTGAGACTTAGAAAGGCGGCGGCTTTTGAAATGAAATAAGGGAAAAAGAAGTTTAGATTGGTTTGGTTTGTTTCGGCGAACAGCTCCCAGCTTCCATAAACGCGTCCGTCCTTATGGTTTGGCTGCGTGTTCAGTACGTACTTCAGTTGGGATCCAATAATCGATCGATTTGGCTTCCAATTCTGTACGATCTTTTGTGGTGCATCGACCATGCTTTGTTCGCCCATTAACGCTACGAGATCATACGACACACGCCGTCATAGCGACGAGGAGGTGTTTGCTGTTGCTCGAGTCAGACTACTGACGAACTCTGTTCCAAATGAAAAGGGGCGCCCGGCCTGACTGACCGGCACAAACTTGGCGTCATGAACTCGATCTGACGACGACGAGCGGTGACAGTCAGGCTGATCAACATCTGATCCGCGTACGTCGCCGTCTGTGTACGCAAAGCCGAATAATAACCGATCAAGCCCCAGTACAACCTGCCATTGTAGCATATACAGTGCCGCCCGCCCGGCCGGTCGATTCACTGCATCGCAGTGACCGGTTTTTCTATTCCTCGGTTCCAAATTAATTACAAGTTTATTTGGTTTTTCTTGGTACTCAGCGTTTGCTATATATGTATCTTGATAGCATATATTTAAGTTCATAACAAAAGCTATATACTTAAACAAGTCAAAATAGATTATAATTTAGAATAGAGAGAGTAATTTTTGCCAAAGCTATATATACGATGTTGCCGGACATTATTTTTTTTATGGAAAATGAAAGTATTCTCGGTCTTTTAATCTGTGTGGCATTCCTTGCTAATCGCTTTCAATCTCCAACCAACTAATGGGACGGCTCATATGTTTGGTGCTTGGATTAGGAGCTTTGCTCCAAGTTTGAGGGATCTGATCATAGTGGGGCTAGCAGCAATTTTGCTGGGTTTTGTGGTTGAATAGAAATGATGTAGTGTTCAACAAAAAAAAATGTTCTAATTCTTGCCTGCAGGTAATCTTCAGGGGTACTTACTGGATCAGGCATTGGTAAGTGTTGTCTAAAGAGGAAGCGAGAAGAGCATTGAAGGATGGGTGCAAGCGCTTGGAAATACTGATGTTACAAGTGTTTAGGGAACTTGGTTGATGTCATCATAGAAGGATTGAGGGTTGTGCCTCTTATTTGTTTGGTTTCAGTTGATTAGGTTTAGATTGGACCGGTCATGTTTGGTAGTCATGTTTAACCTTGTTTTTTGCTTAGTGGAACTTGTTCTAAGAACCAGCTTTTATGTATAGTACGGTTACTCATTCACACATGGATGGGGGAGACCGGAATATTTTTATTTCTTTATCTAAAAAAATGTGAGTCTTAGAGTGCTTGTACAATTGGTAGGCGGCAAGAGCGACAAGTTTGCTCATCTCTCTAATCCAGCTCAACCAATAAGCTGATATGGTAGTTGATACGCCCGTTATTGCACTTGCTCTACCTCCGCAGTTTCCAGTTTTCGTTGTTTACGCTTTTCTATTTCTCTTTTGTCCGCGGTCTTTAGCTACATTAATTAATGTCACAGTAAGACAAGTGGACCTAAGGTCGCTCTTTTTTCATGAACTGTTTTTTATTCAGTTTTGGCATGCTAATCTTTTTATCTCTTGGCATGTTTTTTGTTTCTCTTTTGGCCAGCCAAATATTTAGGCCGTGAGAAAAAATGGGTCAATTTGGGTGGGGAAATGAATAAAAGATGCCTTTACAAGAAGGTAATTTGAATGAAAATTACAGTGATGATGAGAATGTTTAAAGCAGAGAAAGCTTGATAATAACCCTAGTTTTAGAAACTATCTAAAGCAAGAGTAAAAAAATTGCATAAAATTCTTGTCAAAAAAGTGAAACTAACTGCTGTGTCCCAAGTTATATTATGAGGAAAGCAAGCATTCATTGTGATGCCTCTTCCTAAAAAATGACCCTTTTTGTCACTCTTTGTTCATTCATTATCGGTTTTGAGGGTTGTAGAAAAGCACACCTTACGTAAAAAAATTGAATGAACAAAGAGTGACAAAAAAAAATGCTTACAAATCGATTATTTAGACAACTATCGTTTAGATTCTCAACTTGATTGGTTGTTTTATCCTGTTCCTAAACTTAAAAATCGATCATTTAGGTATTCAAACTTGTTCAATTGTGTTATCGGTTTATTAACGAAAAGCTTGGTCCCTTGAGATACGGCGATGGCGGCCTCGGTTCATATGACGCCATGTTTCTGGCGCCGCTCAGTCAGGCCGGGCGCCCTTTTTCATTTGGAGAAATTTTGGCACCAAGCAAGCTACTACAAGTCGATTTCATTGCGCTAATAGACTGCTAGATTTATCAGATGAATCACTACTGAAGGGCCCGGCCGTCAGTCTGACTCGGATCGGAGGAAAACACCTACCGGCGACCGCCGACCGCTGAGGCTTCTCGTCGCTGTGACGGCGTGATGTGAGGGTACCGTTAATGGACGAACAAAGCATGGTCGATGCAACACAAAAGAATCGTACAGAATTGTAAGCCAAAAATCGATTGGATCCAACTGGACACGCAGCCAAACAAAAAAAAAAAAACGTCGTACGCGTTTATTGAAGATGGTTGCCGAACCAAACCAAACTTCGTTTCACTGATTTCACTTCAAAAGCAGCCGCCTCTCAAACAGACCAAAACAAAAAAATATCCACAAAATTGCCCCGCCCCCGCGTTGAGGTAGCCGGCTCGGCGCCGCTCGATCAGTTCGCCACGCGGGGTAGCCTCCCTCTTGTCGTCCTCTCCCCTGCCTACACTACTGCCGCCGCGCCGTCACCGCCGAGCGGCTTGACGCTGGCGAGGAAGGACGGCGCGCGGTCGTCGCCGGGCATGAAGACGACGACCTTGGGCACCCGGTCCAGCGGCACGAGCGCTCGCGCCGCCGCCGCTGCCTTCTCGTCGGACGACGAGGACGACGCCTTCTTGTGCGTGCAGATGAGCACGAGCAGCGCCACCGCGATGACGCCCATCATGATGGCGATGCCCAGGAAGACGTACGGGGTCGGCGTCTTCCATAGGCTCGGTGGTCCGCCGCCGCCGCCGCCGCCCATTAGCTTCACCGAAATAACCCCACCTCTCTCCGGCCTCATCTTCTCTCTCTCTCTCTCTCTCTCTCTCTCTTTTCTTCTTGTTTTTATGTCTAGCAGAGAACAAGGAAGATCTTGGGTGGAATGGATCGGAATAATGGCGACTGGTGGAGAGAGGGGTGGTATATATAGCGGCTGGGGCCTGCTTGCTTTGCCGAGTAGCCCCAGGCCAGGCCAGGTGAGATCGTCAGGTGCTGTGGACTGTGGTGATGGCGCTGCGGCCTGCGGGTGGGTCATCATTAGCAGGAGGTTTAGCCGCCACCGGCCGGGTTTGGACGGAAGAAGGTGAAAGTGAAACCGCTAGGCGCTAGCTGGTTTTGCCTCTCGACTCTGGTGGTGGGGAGAAAGCTGTGTGCAGTGATGTGAAAAACTGAAAACGTACGTCCGGATATTATTCTGGACTCTAGAGAATGGATGGTACAGTAGCATCGTTGTACGCGTGAGAGTGTAGTACGCGTGAGAGTGTAGTACACTTCTTTCGTTTGTCTGTATTTGTGCATATCCGAAATTGCACTTATTTTGCGGCAGAGGGTGTACGCGTGAGAGTGTAGTACAAGTATACTCTGACTATGATCCTACTATTATACTATGTTAGTAGGATGGTGGTTCTCACTCCGTTTCAAATTATAAGTCGTTTTAACTTTTTTTACATCTATTTTGCTATGTATCTAGATGTAATAATATGTCTAGATACATAGCAAAATGTATGAAAAAAAGTCAAAACGACTTATAATTTGAAACAGAAAGAGTATTTATGTACGGATGTCTGTTTGACTATATATATATATATATCCTCCCAGAAATATTGCAAGTTCTGATTATGCACCGAACAAAAGTACTTATTCGTAGTTGCATTCTTTGTAGGACGCGGATCACGTGTAATTTGTTCATTTCATTTATTTCTAAAATTCAAATACAAAAATCCTTCGTTGTTAAAAGTATCTGTAACAATGACGTACGTACGACAAAAGAAATTGTATTACCAGTCTATATATATGAATTTCTACATATTATTCACGATGAACAAAGGTTGAAACAAAAGTCGATCGATCTACTAGTGCTCGATCGATCTGTGGGGCGATAACAGTATCAGTGTAGCTATAGTACAGATGGTCTATGGGTTTAGACTTTGGACTTTGGACCGATGCCATGCTGCAGATTTGTTTTGCGCGGTGAGATAGATGCGGATATTCGACTATGCTGCCAACGGGTACATAATGATGGTTTAACTTGTGGACGCGTGTAGGGATGGAGAAATAAATAAGCAGTGTGTGCATGGCAAGAGCGCATTCGTTGAACCTAGCCGGCCGGGTCCGGGTGTCCAGCCCAGCCCAGCTCTGTTCACACCGGTCCTCGTTCAGTTAATGAACAGTATAAATCAGTCAATAATATTTTTAACTATAGTTTATAACACTCGTAGTCACCTAGTGGGACCTCTTGATCATCGGACGGACGAGATGGACGTGGGTCGGAGAACATGGCACTGGCCGGCAGGCAGCGGCATGCAGATGCCCCCAGCTGGTGGTGGCGTGCGTTTCCGAGTCGCGGCGCGCATCCCGCATTCAATACGTCTGCAAACGCGTCCGCGCCTAACGCCTGAGCGATCCAGCACTGGTGTGGTGATGAGTCAGCGACGCGGGGACCCGTCGCCGAGAGTTGCTGGAATTGATACAGCAGCAGCAATTTCCTTCCCGGCCAGTCCGTTAGTTCCAGGCTGTGAGAGCTGATCTTGATATTCTGATGCACACCAAAACGATCTAGCTGGTTGCCGGCCGATGGATGGCTTCAAATCAT